AGGATGGGCCTGCTTCGGGATAAATGACGAATACTCCACGTTGGCGTAGTTATCAGGTTGTTTATTGCACGAGTAGATTTCTCCACCTCGGTGTGAGGATGTCTGGAAAAAGCCTGGATAATAATGTTTTGGGACTGGCACCCTTAGCAAGCGGCCGCCAATGGATGGGGCCAGCACAGACCAAACCCCCAACCCAAGCCCCCAGCATCACATTCCATCCTTCATTTCTCTGCCATCTTGCTGTGTTTTCTTATTTACTCTTCACTGTGCCCTATTGTGGGCGCGTATTTTCGCTTCCAAACTCGTGTCGCCGTTCCATGAACTTTTTCCCCCTCCTTTAGCTCGTTCCAGGCTGGAGTCCCCGCTGCCTGGTGTGGCAGCTGGGCGTTGCTTCCGAGGGGATTTCCTCCTGCGACTCCACCGGTCTTTTCATCTCTCCCTACACCGATCCCCTGCGTCCCTTTTCCAGAGTCCCACGTCAAATGATTTTTTATTTGCTCATATTTTGCTCGCGGTTTTACGAACACCCTTTGCAGCCCGGGCACTGCAGCTTGCTCCCACGAGCTCCGCACGTGTTTTTCCTGGGGATGTGGATTTTCTGGAACCGTTTGGCAGCGAGGGGGCTGGCTGCAGGGGGGAGAGGGGCTGCGCTGGGGGGGCTCCGATGCCAAACCCTGCTCGTCCACACCCGGCGCGGGAAGACATGGGAGCTGAGCGCTCCAAAGACACGTGGAACAGCGTTTTGAGACTGTGTTTACTTATATATTTCGCCTTGTTTGTAGAACTTATCTCTTCGTGCCCTGGGCGGACATGCGACGAGTGACCCCGTACCCTGCCTGCGCCCAGGAGCTGCGCTGGGGCAGGGGGAGGAGGGCGATGCTGGGGTCTGGGCTGCGGCCGGGTGAACTTTTGGCATAAATTTTAAAACAAACAGGTCGGAAACACCGAAGGGCTGAGCTCGCCCAGGCGCAGGCTGGGATGACGTGGGATGTTTCCGGCGTGGTGTGCTGGGCTGGGAGGCAGGGAGGCAGGGAGGCGGGGAGCCAGGGTGCAGGAGGTTTTCCCTCACGCGGAGCCCGCCGGGAGGCCTTGAAATCCCCGCGCAGACCTGGTGCGGGGTT